TGGCAGTTGTTTGGCAGTCCTAGTCTCTTTTTGTCCATAGAAACCCTGATCCAGATGTTGGACCTGACTAAGGTCTTCGATTGAGGGTGCTCCGTAATCGACTCATAGCACCTTCACCCGAAGTGGACAACAACCAACGTTTCCAACTCTTTACACATCCACCTCAACACAAACAACAATACAGAACTGGCAGTTGTTTGACAATCCTAGTCTCTTTTTGTCAATAGAGACCCTGATCCAGATGTTGGACCTGACTAAGGTCTTCATGAACCTCACTCAATAAGTTCAAACACTGGCAAGGATGATACAATCTGTCGTCCCTATGTTACCTCAATTGGCGCAGTCGGTGCCAACCCTTCCACTGCAACAGTTTGTCGCACCACAAACGCTTGCCTAAGTGCCTCGATCGACCCAGACATAGGTTGCCCAAGAGCCTCCTTGGCCAACCAACCTTTTGGCTAAGGGGTTGCCTTGGTCCTCTATTGTCAAGTTTAACGAACCCTACCACCCGTAGTCAATAATGCTCGAGTCCGAGGCCTAGTTGGTGAACTCAAAAGACACCCTCCTAGCGTAGCTCCAGCAAATGGACCAATGCCTTGAGGACCTGCACCACGAGTTCCATATGACAAGAACTAGGAACCCCGTAGACTTCACCTTGATCGAGTCCCTCTTTACTTGACAGATTAAGGAGGAATTGGTCCACTTGAGCTTCTAGTTATCGAATCTAGAAGCATTCAATGGAAAGGCAGATCCCACAAAGCATGTATCAGCATTCTATATCCAAATGATGTTGTATGGCACTTTGGGCGCCATGATGTGCTAAGCCTTCCCCACAATCCTAAAAGGTGCGGCCTAAAAGTGGTAGTGGTACACCCGCTTAAAACCCCTCCAAGTGAGTACCTTCGCTCAATTGGCAAGAGAGTTCGAGGAGCACTTTGCTGGGAACGTGCACCCTCGACGTTAGACCACTACCCTCTTGGGAAGCTGACATACAAAGGGCAAGCTGCTATCGGACTTTGCCACCTGATTTACCAATGAAGCCCAAGGTGACACTAATGCTCACCCCTCTGTCCTTGTACAGGCATTTATGATGTGACTGAGGTATATTAGATTATTCTGGTCATTGATAGAGAGACAACCAACCACCATGCCTGAGATGCTTCGAAGGACCAAGCAATATATCACGGCCTAAATAATGGTGGCCAAAGGTACAAGCAATCACATAAGTGCCTAAAGTAGGAGCGCTCGACACGTGCCCAATGCCGAGGTCTTCACGGCATAAAGTTCTCGATCGAGCAAGACTTTGGTTGAGAGTCAACCTTCCCCCTCTCGACATGTCGTGCACAGGAGTGATCATATAAATCAGAGATAAGGAGATGCTGCAACCCTCGCCCTATGAGGTTTGTGTCAAGAAGAAGAGATAGATCCAAATTCTATTGGTTCCACCAAGACCACGAGCAAGACACTGAGGACAGCCACTTCAAGGAGCAAATCGAAGAACTTATTTCGTTGAGGGCACCTTGAGTGTTTCATCCAAAGGAGACGAGCCAAACTCGAAACCAGAGGGCCCAGTGGAGAAGTAGATCAACATAATCATTGGTGAACCGACATCGAGTGTGATAGCTCATCTAACGAGAAGGCCTATGCCCAAGCCGCAACAGTGAAGCGTCAAACGATAGAAAGTGAACCGGAAATAACTTTCAAAGAGGAGTAGGTAGGGCACTTCAACCTCAACCATGACGACGCCCTAGTCATCCTTGTTAGAATGATCAACACCCTAGTCAAGAGGGTCACAATCAACACAAGTAGCTCCGCTAACATCCTTTATTTTGATGCCTTTCACAAGCTAGGGTTGACTACTAAGAGTTAGGATTGACTACTAACAACTTGACCTCGATGTCTTATCTCACGAGGTTCATCAACTCCATCTCACCCCTCAACATGATCAATCTCCATGTGAACTTTGGCATGGAGCCTAATTCTAAGACAATGCTGACTAAATTTATGGTGGTCGACATCTCCTCAGTGTACAATGCAATCATTGGTCAACTGACGTTGAATAGACTTTGGGCGATGATGTCAACCTACCACATGTCCATGAAATTCCCGACAAGGTCTGGAGTCGGGGAATTAGAGAGCAATCCAAGGGAGTCCTGCAAATGCTACCTAACCGTAATGTCCTTTTCGAAGAAACTCCGGCTCGAGGTGTTGCTGATGGATCCCAAGGACGACATGAAGCTAGTACCCCATCCTGAGTTGATCAAGACCCTTCTTGAAGTACCACTAGACCAGGCTCAACCTGATCGAACACTGAAGATCAAGTCAACTCTACTCGAGTCTAGTCGAGTGGAACTAATAAACTTCTTACGGGCTAATGCAAAGGTCTTTGCTTGGTCCCCAAGGGACATGGCCTGGGATGGACTCAGATGTAGCTTAGCACCATTTGAACATCTTTCTGGAGGCCCGACCAATTAAACAAAGGTCATGCAAGTTTGCACCTAATAGCTTGTAGGTCATCAACATCGAAGTAGATAAGTGGTTAGGTGTTGGTTTTATTTCCGAATTACAATACACACAACGACTAGCTAATGTTGTTCTCGTTAAGAAGGCTAATAAAAACTGGTGGATGTACGTTAATTATACCAACTTGAACAAAACTTATCTAAAGGACCAAGGTTTTTAATTTCATATTGTACTAGCATACCAAGCTTTGCTCGATATGGTATGTACTGACATACCGAGCGGTATGCCTAAAATAAGCATAAAACCCTCCGAAAATACCTTAAAAATAGAAAATAAAGTTAGGATAGAGTTTTTAAGTTAGAAATAAATATACATTTAGTATAGTTTTAGCAAAACTAATGTAAATTAGGTAAGAATAGTGCCACATATCTTTTTTGAACTTTGAGGAGTAGCCTTGTGGAAGGTTAGCAATTTTGGTCCGATTCAAATCGTCAAACCGTTGCTTTGTTGAGTTTAGGAGAGTGAAAATGTGAGAATAAGAGAGAAATTATGAGTAAAAATGAGTTTGAGAGAGTTTAAGAGAGCGTGAATGTGAAATGGATTGAAAGAGGGGGGTGGAAAGGGTTTAAAAACCCTTTAAGATGCCTCCAATGGTCAAATTGACCGTTTGAAAATTGATATTAATCGATAACGATTGGTTTCAACGTTATTGCCTAATACAGGTTGGTGACGGTTGAAATCGACTAGTACCACCTGATACAAGTCAGTAATGGTCGAAACAGCCCCATATCACCCGATACAGGGCCAAAAATCTGGTACCATCCGGTAACGAGCGGTTCGCGTGCTAATAGGATAGCAGACCGTTACATACTACCCATACCAGCCGGTACAGTACAAAATTAAAAACTTGGCAAAGGAAAACTACCCCCTCCCTCGGATTGATCAATTGATAGATGCCACCTCGGGGCATAAGTTACATTCTTAGACACCTTCTCGGGATATAACCAAATGCGAATGGCACCTCATGACCCAGAATACATCTCCTTCATCACC